CAATCTTTTTATAACCCCATTAACTCATATTAAAATATTTTGCTTAATTTAATTTAATAACCTTTTTTAATAACATTTAGTCACTAAAAAAAACCATTTTATAAATAATTTACATTTGTAATTGCAATTTATCTAATTAATAATAAAACCTATTTAGTATGTTAAAAAAAACAATAATAAAAAACCTTATACAATAAGTGATAATCAATATTTGTTTAATAATTATTTTCTATCCAAAACTTAATTCATAATCCTCAACTCTTATTAATAAAATCAATTCAACCATTTTTCTTAAATAATCTCACCAAATATAATATCACTCCCAAATTAATTCAACATTTTCCTAATCAATTCGACATCCGCCTAAAATCAATCAACATCGACAATACAAATCAATCGTGCACACTCACATTCACGACACATTCACCCTCACCCACTTCAGCGCTTTCATGCGTTTGTGTATGGCTTACTTTCCTTGTAATTTATTCTTCAGCAACTTAATATTACCGCAATTTACTTTCCGCATCGCATTCCGTCCAAAGGAAAAACCTACACATAGGTCAACACTTGTCTGTAGTGCATCTCATTTGCATCATTCTCCCCACATGATCCTTGATCCCATTCAAGTTGATCTCTAAGTTAGATCCTACCCCATAGGAGGACCTTGTCTTTCATCTTACAACTTAGACAATACAAACAATCAATTCAAAACAACTCAAACAATATTCAAACAATCAACTCAAATCAATACAAAATTTAAACACAACAGAGAAATAGATGTTAATCATCTTAAGCGAGATAGAATCTCCACCCCACAACAATACAATCAAGTCGTAGGAACTTTGCCTTAAGAAAGATAGAGGTGTACTCGTCAAACAATCCGAGTACTTGAGCCCTTTTCTTAAGATGATGCAAAGACTATTTTCCTACAACCTGTGGCGGTTATATCTCCCTCAAAATGAAGACACATCTCTTCTCCTAAAATCAATCAAACAACTACCATAAACCCGTAGGAACTTTCACCACAATCAAAGAACTCCTCTAACCCTTTAGGGGAACTACAAATACTTTGATTCCACTCCCGTAAGGATATGTAGGCATAAGATGCGATATCTTATCGAGTATACTTAGAAATAAACCCCTAGGTCTTTTAAACTCTTAAGCAGATAAACACTTAGCAATAAACAAACATAAAACAAGAGGTTCTTGTAGAGTACTACAGAAACTTAGGATGCTAGCACCTTCCCTAAGTTTAACCAACCCCCGAACCTATAACTCTCTAAACCTTGCACTTGCATTGCATTGTGGGAATTTCGATCTTTATCCCTTCCTTTGGACAAATCAAAGTTCGGTTGCAAAATGAATTAAAGATTCAAACTAATCAATAGTTTGGTATCCGATTTTCACCGCGACAATTTGCATTCATTATTTGCAGTATGTATTGGATGATTATGTTGATATTGGTGATTCGAGAATGCTTTAGTGAAGTATGCAATTGAATTGTGTTAAATAATTAATGTTGTTGTTTAGACTAAATCATTCTACGGTTTGATCGTGATTTTTAACAAACAAACTAGTTCTATAACATGTATAAATTAACATTCTAGCATTTCCTACTCATTTGATACCTAAATCATTATTTTCTACTCATTTACACAAAAACTCAAAAGACTTTTCAAAACATCAAAAACTTATAATTTTGACTTTGATTCGGTATTGGATGATGTTTATGATGTTGATTGACGACCCTTTGAGATTAATTGTTTGATTTTGAACTTGGTGATGACATTTTTTTTTTAGAGAGAATTGAGTTTTTGATGAAATGAGGAAGAAGGGTTATGGGGCAATATATGCTCTAAATAATTTCGGAGGTGCATCTCCGGAGTGTTTTGACGTTAATTTAAAATTGAGTGCGTCTGTAGATGTGCTTTGACGTTAATTTAAAATTGAGTGCGTCTGTAGATGGGTTTTGACATTAATTTAAAATTGAGTGCGTCTGTAGATGTATCTCTGAAATCTGAAGGCATTTATGTCTTTTTATGTGGTGTTTAAGTAACATATAGGATGTATTAAAAAAAAAAAAATTTAATAACTAGAAAAAAAAAGTTTAATTTCTAGAAAAGGTGTTAGTAGTGAGGAATATACCGAGGAGGTAAGTGTTTATTAGAGGCTTGCAACTTATTGTTATCATTATATTAAGGAAATATTTTTTCTAGAAGAACTCTCGGCTTTGATTATACATTATAATTGTTTTTTCTTTTCTTCCATAAAATTTAAAATAAAAATAAAAAAAATCATTCCTTCACTAATACATTGTTTCATTTATTCTATTTCATGTAAGTTTTATCAAAGTACAGCATTAAATCGTAAAGTAGTATAAACACAATGATCATTGTTTCCATCATGGAAAGTAGAAGAAGCTCACCAATTTGGAACACTTTTTTGTGCAAATATAAATTTCAACAATTCAATCATTAAGTCTATGATACAGTGTTCACATTGGTTTGTTGTTAAAAAGAGAAAAACTTAGGTTTAAATTAATAAGAAAGTTGAAGTACAATAGTATTTGCCACTTAGTTGAAGTGAATGGAAAATGGGACCTATTATGTCTGTGTGTGTCTATATATATATATATATATATATATATATATATATATATATATATATATATATATATATATATATATATATATGCCAATCACTAAGAAGTATAATCATATATTCTTTCTTCCATACTATGGCAGATAATGTACAACATGGACGTCAGAGAAAAATGCCCAAAGCACTTGGTATTTTTCTGAGATGCTTTTCTGCCACTGCCAGGAAAGAGGAGCAGCAATTGGTAAATGATCATGTTGACAACAACGCAGAGGAGATCATAAGAAGAAGAAGCAGGGTGGCTTCCACAACAGCCGTGGATGAAAAACCTCTTGGCAAAATTGCAGATGCGTTCAAAGAGCTCGCAGACATTATCGTCTCCGAAAATGTGATTGAGGTTGCTGCTTTTTCCCGCGCATGTGCTTTTGTGGCTCCCCTTTTTGGCAGCATTGGCTTTCACTTCAAGTTCATTGAGATGGATTACCTCATCAAGGTAAGTGACCAATAAGCTAATTCATTATTAGTAACATATATGTGATCTCATTTGTTGATCCACAAACCTGTGAAACACTTAAATAGAAACTGGCATCAAACACTAACAAATAAACATGGATAATAATTAATAACAGGTCAATGATATAGCAGAGGCATCAAAGTCTTTCAAGACATTACAATCTATGGTTGATCATGATGTACAAGCTAATTCTGTGAGAATACAAGGAAGCCATTCCAGAAATCTTTTGAAAGTTAAACGTGGACTTGAATTTCTCAAAGTGCTATTTGAACAAGTTCTACTCACAGAGTATGTAGATCTTATTCATTGGCTAATTTATCATTTACTGTGTACTTATTAATGATTGATTTGATATAAAGTTTTAATATTTTGGTAGAAGAGATTCAAAGCATGTAACTATCACCCATAATTGATGCTTTTAACACCAGTACTAGATAACAATGATTAAACAAAAAAACTCATATTTCATAAGAACAATAGCTCCAATTCTGCTGTAATTTGGAAAATCTTACAGATAGATTATCTTTGAACATGAGATTTGTTCTATATTTGGTGAGCTCCAAGACTCATCTCAGAAGAATAAAAATAAATAAATAAATAAATGAAAGTGGAAAATTGGATGACAGAACAAATCCCACTTACAATTCTTCAATGTTTAGTGCAAAGTGGGCTGTATGGAGAAAGTGTCTGTGGACTAATAGTGATTTTCGGGTCAATGTCAATAATTAAGTCTTTTTTGTTTAACTTTTTTACAATTTTGTTTAGTTTGGTAGTACTTAACAGTTATTGTAAATTAAGTTTCAATCTGTGTTTTGACAGGGGAAATTCTATGAGAGATGCAGTTTCCAAGGCTTACACGCAAATATTTAATTCATATCATGGTTGGGCTCTCAGAAAAGCTGTTTCTGTAAGATTAAATTATATTCCTACAAAGCAGCAGCTATATAGAAAACTCGGTGAAGATGGTAAGTATAGCATAACATTTGCTACCATCAGTTTAAGCATGTACTTAAGGCTTAATACTTTAACTATTGTAGTTATGATGTTAACAATATTTTTGTTATTTCTACAGAGTCTGCAGCAAAGATCCTGATGGAAACTTATATATCAGCATCCCCGCCTCTACTTCAATATATCGAGAAGATCTTTCTAGAGAGAGAACTGGGTATAGATTGGTGAACCTTCTGAATGAATGTGTTTTGATTTTGTTGAATACATGTAATAAAGAACTTTTATTGTTTGGAATCTTTTAGACACAGAATAATTTTTTTGGTTTATGACAATCATTTTTGCTGTAATTGAAAGAACATTTTTGTTCAAAGGGTAAATAAATCTCCTACTAAATACAGTGAGGGAGAAAGAAGAAAAGTCAAAGAAATGCGAACTTTATTAGGATTGGTCTAAATAAGCACCTAGTATGCATAAAAAGATAGAGAGAGAAAAAAAGGAGAAAAAAAAAGCATTTTAGGACCAAATTCTTCCTCATTCAATACTTAATGCTCACATATAAAACCATGAAAAATTAGTCCTCCCCTTTTACTATTCATGTAAGAATGAAGAATTATATTTACAACTTTTCTATGATGACATATCTAGTATGAGCTTGCTAACAGGTCCTATTATGAATTAAATTATCAGAATCTAAATGAGATTCATAAAAGAAAGAAAACATACTCTTTTCATTGAACTACCATGATTCAAGTCACAAATCCCATTGCAGAAAAACTTGAGTATGTTGCCGACCAAGAAGAGTGTCAACACAAAGGGCTGACATATATCTTCTTCACCTCAACAACACAGCTATAGTAGCTTTAGACAAAGAACCCTCAGAAGGCCTAATAAAAAGGAATTTATGTCGAATGAATGTGTAACAAAGTTTTCTATATCATCACAAAGGGCTAACAACCCATCCTGTAATTGGATTCTGTTTGCGAACTCTCAACTTCCCGTGTCTACCACTTTGCAATCGCTCAAGCACTGCATATGTTATTGAATCTGGTGTCAGCCCTTGTTGCTTAAGTTTTGCATAAAGGTCCACTGCCTCGGCAGTTCTTCCAGACCTTTCAAGACAATCGAGTAAAATATTATATGTTACTAAGTTAGGAGAGCATTCTTCAGCAATCATTTCATCAAACAAGCTACACGCCATCTCAACTTTATCAGTCTTGCCAAAGCACTCAATAAGTGTACTATAAGTTACAACATCAGGATTTAATCCTTTCTCTTGCATCTCTTTGAATCTCATGTGAGCTTCATCAACATCTCCATTCTTTCCGAGGCAGTTGATCAAACTGTTATAGGAAATGACATCGGGATCACAATTACTATTCTCTAGCTCTTCGAAAATTTTAACAGCACTGTCAACTCTTCCAGCTCTCCCGTAGCTGGATATCAGAATATTGTATGTGAATATATCTGGCAGAGGGCCGTCACATTTCATCTTTTCATAAAGGTCGTGGATATGCGATACTTGTTTCAACTTGCCAAGAGCCGTGAATACTGTATTATACATGATAGTATCACTGGTTATACACTTTTCATGAAATCTATTAAGAAGATCTATTGCTTCTGTCATTTTACCACTACTGCATAAACTCTCCAACATGGACATGTAAGCATCTTTATCCCCCTTGTCATGGAAGTTCCACATGTTGCAAAATAGCCTATGTGCTTCAGAGGAATGGCCCAATTTGCTTAAAGTCCTCACAAAATAAGCATATATCTGCTTATTCATATATTTTTTTGATATCTCTACAACATAGTCAAGCTTATGAAGCTGTCCTTCAGCGACAAGAACATTCAAAAGCACACTGTACGTAAATTCATTAGGCTGACAATCATTCTCCACCATTTTTGAGAAGAGAAGGACAGCCTTCTCTGCCATCCTCCCCTTGGCAAGTGCCTCAATCATAGTATTATAAGCAATCAAATTCGGAGTGAATCCCTTTTCTAACATCACCTGAAAGAGTGCTAGCGCCTTGTTTGTTTTGCCAGATTTCCCAGTCATTCTGATCATAATGGTGTAGGTGAACGTATCAGGCTCACAATGCCTTCGTTTCATGTCCTCAAAAACTTTAAATGCTTGATCCGCCTGCCAAAATATTGAAATACACTAACTGTTAAACAGGATCAACAAAAGCAAGCTGTATTTCTGGAAATCAATTTACAAAACCACTAAAGCTCAATTAGACGGTCTTCAATCTATTCACACTAATCTCGCTGGAATTTGCAGGAAAACTTTACAGTCGTACAAGTAATTATGCATAACATATTCCAGAAACAGATGAATAATGAAAACAAGCTATTACCACAGACAGGCTTATAAAAACAAGCTTAAAACGGTATCATAAGCTATTTTTCATCAACTTTTCCAAACATTTCACAAGTGCCCGTGTCATAAGATAAATTCAAATAAGCTTTTCAAAATACCCCTGTTACACAAATGCATATAGCAAAATAATCCCAAGTCTAAGCCTATGTTTGGTAGCCCGGTGAGCCACCACTGCTGCACGTTTAATGCCCTTTTCACCGTGATTTTGAGAATTTCTCAACACACTAAGAGTCTAAGACCCAACAGAACTTCTCTAAATGCACCCCTAAATAATCAAACTATATCCAAAAGGGTGTAAGAATCTTCATTTATAGCTCTTAAAAACATGTATTGTAATGTAATGAATCTAACAAATTCAAAATAAACATAAAAAGCACCAAAGCAACCAAACAATGGAAGAAACACACAAACCTTATTCTCCTTAGCCAAAGCATCCAAAAGCATGTTATAAGCAAAAATATCCAATTGATAACCACGTCTCAACATATCCAAATAAACACTAAAAGCCTTATCAGAATCCCGTAACCTCAAATAAGCTTGAAGCAAACACTTATAAGTATAAGCATTAAGTCTAAGCTCCCATTTCTTAACCAACCCAACACAACGATCCAAATCACCAAAAAATCCAATAAGAATATTAACGGTTGAGATAGAGCCACGCAGGCCGCGTCGCTCCATATCATCGAGAAGGGATTCGGTCTGTTCGAATCGAAGAGGGGAAGACGAGAGGGAGAGAATGAGGAACATACGGTTATAGGTGAAGGAGTCATGACGGAAATTGGGCGAAAGGGAGGGGCAAAAGTGGAAGAATTTGAGAGCGAGGGAAGGGTTTTTGAGTGATTTGAGAATTTCGGAAGCTTCGAGAGGAGTTAGAGAGATGGAGAGAGATTGGAGATATTCGGAGAGGTCGGAGAATGGGTCGTGGAGAGTGGTTTGTTTGGTGGAATGGGGGTTTGTGGCGGAGAGGAGGATTTGGGTGGCTTTGCAGACTAGGTCATGGCGGGGGAGGGAGTAGCCTCGGATGTCGGAGGGGAGTGGCGGTGGCGGTGTTACTTCTGCGGCTAGGGAACGGCCGGTGGGGGAGGTGGAGGTGATTTTGGCGGTGTATTTAGTGGCGAAGTGGCGGCGGAAATTGAAGTGAATTGGTTTCATTGGTTTCGGTTGGACTTTAGTTCTCCATCAAATGATTTTCAGTGCTTGCTGCTCTTTCAAACGAATTTGGCTCCGAGAGTTAATTGTAAAATGAGAATTTCAAGTTTTATTTTTGAGAGAATATTAATAATTCTATTTCACTGAATTTGCAATACATTAGTCAATTTCAGCAAAAGAAACGGACTAAAAACACAGTAAATAATCCTGTTACTTGTTTTAATGCATGATACAATATTTAACATTAACTAAATAATTGGACTAGTAGTTAATAAACTTCAATTAAAGATAAAGTATTCAAATGAATTATATTGAATTAATTTAATCAAAATACTGTATTATGTAAGGGAAGCAAGGGATGGGTAACGGGTTAATTCTCTTTTAAATTTTGATTGGGTTATTTTAATAACTCTAATTCATACCTAAATTCAAAAAAAAATCGATAACATATAAGTTAATTTAGAGTGTAAGACGATATCGAATGATCCAAAATATATAGAAAAGAAATAGTGATTTAAGAAATTTATTATAGTATTTTAAAAAATTTATTTAAATAAAAAATATGAATAAAATTATTAGTATAAATAAAAAACAACGAAGATATTTAAAGTCAATTTTTTAAAATAAAAAATATGATATAATTTTATATATGTCATCACTATTTTATTTTTATTAAAGCATAGTAAAAAATGTAAAATAAAAAACATGATGTAAGAGAACCAGAGAAGTGTGAAAGTTGAAAAGTGGAAAGATGTGTACTTAATAGTTACTTAGTGCATATATTAAATTATGAGGTGGAAAGTGAAAAAGTGTATTGAAATTTTGAAATAATTTAAATATATCAATAAATTAAATAAATAAATAGTACCACATTCATTCATAATATCAGAACGGTTTGGATAATTCGAAGGTCAACCCGAATTGTCCCAATCGAATACCAAAATCATTTTTGAACTGTATTTTTTTTATATGAGATGGAAAAAAGACTAACTTAAAAGTATTGAATGAGAAAGGATAGACACCCCAAACTACATTATCCAAAGTCTCTTTCAAAACTAATAGGACTAATATTGTTATTTAGATATTCAAAGTACATTGTGCATATATTTTAGGAGGAAAATTCTTATTTACCCATCATAAAAAATTAAATGTATCCATTTGTATTAAAATTGTCAAAATGTAAACATCAAATAAATTATTAAATATGATATTTAATTTTTTATAATGAATAGAGTTGTCACCATTATAGTTTCACTTCAACTAAAATGACGAGCTTTTTAAATTTACTTTTCCCGTGAACATTTGAAAAATACTATTGCGTTTAAATTTTACTTTTAAATACATTAAATAATTAATATATTTAATCTATATAAACCAAATGCATTAATTATTAAATATATTTAAAAAGTAAAATTTACAAAGAATGGTCTAAACCATTTAGAGTCGAGAATAGAATTAAATCCATTAACTTGGAGAAGACCAACATGCGTATAAATTACTAGCTAGCTCTTGCATTTGATAAAGTAAATGCTGCACAGTTTAGAAATAGGAAGACGTGAGAATGACCGTTTCTCAAATTTCATTATTTTATAATAGTATTATTCAATATGCCAATCAAAATGTCGTACACTTTATTGAAAATGGCCGGAACAATCACAACTATCCAAGTCCTGAATAAGGGGCACAATGTCCATGCTTCACATATATAATAACCCCTCATTTTGATGACCTAAATCCTAAATCAACAAGTTTCTGATACATAAATATAAGAAACTGACTACACCGATCCATCAACAACAATAATATAATAATGCACATAAACTAGAGGCATTTAGAGAGAAAAAACCAATCAAAAAGTTCAACAGAAGCCCGGTCCTCCCTGGTTTGGCAAAAAGACTTGTGGCGTTTGTTTGCTTCTATGCTTAATCAAGCTTGACATTAGAGTAGAGAAGTGTGTCCCTTGTGATTGGCATATACAAGAGGTAACATGTCTGCCAGAAGGAAAAAAAATGAATTAGTAAATATTTATGATCACGCACCAATTGTCAACACATATTATCACCGTTGCATTAAAAAATGTAATATATTAGCTAACTAATGTTCCCAGTTCATCAGTTCCTTCAAATAGTTCCCCGAACTCGGAGATAATTGAGTATCCTTTTATGGGTGGCCCTCCGGGGCGCTGACACCTTGATTGAGTGACATATCTCAACCCATTCACCATATTTAACCAAAAAGAGAAAGGGATAATACGAAAAATCTAACCACTAATTCTAATGTAAGCATCCATTATGCAAACATAACATCATCAATACATTACACCAAATTAAACGTTAGAATTTCCCTCCCGAATAAATTTCCAAATTGTTACTAAGAAAAGGTACTGCCCTGCTCCAAACAAAGTTTGGAGAAGGGGGGATGGAGAGCTAATGGAAAATCAGTTCCCCAAATTGTCTTTCAAGTTCCAAACATTTAGCTAGACTTTAACGACAAATATGTCTAGCTACACAGAAAATCATTTCTTTCCTATTTTTGATTAACATGATCTTAATAGTATGAGTTTTTCACCAGACACTTACCCCCATAAGAGTTGAAACAAGCAAAAGTATTCCTGTTATCCAGGCAAGGGTTGTCCTAACCAGTGCCACTTCTGCAAAAGTTGTATTCAGTGCATTTGCTTCTTCCAACATGCGCACCTTATGGTAGTCAGAAGGAGTAAAGATCACATTAAACGTCTTGCCAGACTCTTGAGGAGTGGCAGTTTGACAAAAGATAATTCCAACAATTTGACCTGCTCAGTCATTGATCATTAAACAGGTTCAACAAAAGCAAATGAACTTTTCAAACCAATAATTGACATCTAATGAACAAATAATCAGCTGAGTTTGCTACAGTCATTTGACTAGGATATTTTTACTAAAGCAAATACTACTTCTATCCCTAAATATAAAACCCTCGAGTAAATCACAGGAATTTAAAAAGTTGGTTGTTGTATTAAATTTGTTGACAATTGGCTATGTTCTACAAATTTACCCTTCAATAGAGAGAATTAGCTAATGTCTTCATAAGAGTATTTATTATGATTGCAAAAAAAAAATTTTAATAGTTAGGGGTATTTTGGTAAAGAAATATTAATGCAGTTGAAATTTTAAAAGAGGTCAATCAAAAAAGGACAGAAAAACCTTAAGAGTGGTCTATATATTTAGGGATGGAAATGGTAACAACCGAGGTTCCTATCTTGTAAGAAAAAACAGCAAGTCTGACAAAAATTGACCTTTGTATGCTTCTTGCAATGAGCCAAATATCTTTGTCAAAGTCACAAGTAACAATTCAACTCCATGCTGAGCAATACTTTCAGCTTCACCTTGCTCTTGCAAAACCTGCAACGTATTGGTTGATATGATTAGACAACTAAAATTCACATATTAAACATCATTAAATATTGCACGTAAACGTGAACATAAATATATTCAACTAAAAAAAACTGTATTTAACAAAGTTGATTCTTTCCTTTAGGATGTGCTCACAAAACTATATGCATCGGGTCTAATGTCTCCAGTATACAATGTTCATTTGGTTTTGTTTAGACACAACAAAAACAATAAAAATAATAAAAAAGAATCAATAATACTTATGTCAGGATACTGAAGTTAGATATAATATAAGCATATAATGATCAATTTTTCCTTGCAAAGTGAAGTTGGTTACATGGATTAAGCATCACCATTATGTCTAATCATAAATCATGCCTGATTTAACCAGTTAAACCCAAAATCCTTATTAATGACTTGAGTCTAGTTAATTCTTGGTTCTCCTCTATCTCGAATTATTAGACTGTCCTCTATTTGAATAGAAGTCGAGATTTATGAAGTCGAGATTTGACATATTAATAATAGATGTCAATTGAGAAAAAAGATTACAAAGAAAATTTTTCTATCACCTCCAATATCAAATCAATGATACTGTATGAAAGATTTGTTTCTCTTCGAATTTGCATTCACATTTTATATGCCTTCCTAAGTTACACACAAATAAATAAAGCATCAATCATGTACTGAAAAGAAAATTGCTTGGGATTGACTCTTCATACAAAACTTCTGAGGCACAAATTTAAATTGAGAAAGAACAGAAGAAACAGATCAACTTAGCACTTCAGATGGCTCATGTTCACCTCGGCATAGTTTCCCCATCACAAAAGAAAAATTGCGTTCTTTCCGTATTTTCCTTCTAAATTTAAAATACATTCAATTTTATAGGATTTCAATTTGTCCAACAAGAGAACCTACTAAATAAGGGATTCCTTCTAGGAACATCGACATCCATTCTAATTTATTTTTCTATTAAAAAGAAAAGCAATGCTATTTGTTACGGAGGATTATACAGGAGAAGGATTTATACAAAAAAGAGAAGAATGCGCAAAAGATGGAGATTTGACCAATCGAGTTCAAGCTGACCATACATGGGAGAGTGGGTAATTCTTATTTGGAAGAGTTGCATGTTGCATTCTTGTGTTTCAGGTCAACCTTCTCTCGTAGCAATAAGCATTTTCATAGTCCTTCAATTTGCTTTGGAACAGCTTTACCATCTTAATATACGGGAGGATAAAATATTATCCATGACTGAAATGAAACACATGCATCACAAGGAACCCTAGCCACTCAATTTGCTTTGGAGCAGCATTACTTTCTTAATCCCCTCTCGGTTCTGTCAAAGATTTACTTGTTTCATTAAGTTAACGTTTTGGACAAATAAAGTGATTGTGCAGTCTTGCTTACTCTGTAGTTTGCTTTCTACGACTGTTTCATTTAAGTTATTTTTCTTGTTCTTGAGGAAACCCTATATTCTCCTCAGTTGCATTTACTTTATTTAATAAAACCTTATTTATCTACAAGCCAAAATTATCATCTTCATTGGATACCTTTGGAATCTTATCGTTCAATCTCTATACACCAATATGAAATCCTTCATTTGTTGACAAATCTTTATTCTAGTTAGAATCACTCTCTTGTTTACTCAATTCTGTTTTGTTTTGGGGAATTCGTTCCATATACCAAAAGAAAGGTTTCTAATAAAAATTTAAGATACATTTATGTCAAATTATAATTCATGGATTCAGTAATGTCCAGTTTTTCTTTTTAAAATAGCTAAAAAAGAATAAGAAAAGGAGGGAGAAAGAAAGTTGGACACCTTAATGACATTGAAGCTTCCGGTTAACAACTCAGCTGGACTTAGTGTACTCTGTGAAAATTCATGATGCATCTGAATTGCTCTTTTGACATTTTGAGCAAGAGACAAAAGACCAATCACAAACTTTCTTTCTGCTTTCTGCAAATATAAGCACATAAGCCTCCCAATCAGTCCTAACAAACAAATACACATATAAGTAGATAAACATGCCTTCAAATAATCCTTATCACACCTTTGACATATGGAGATTCACCAAGGCACCATTTGCCAAAGGAATGGTCAGAACTCCATTGACTGGCTCTATGGCATCAGGGGCATATGATCCACCTATCAAAGATGACTAAAAACAACAGAAAAAAAGTCATATTCAAATATAACTTAATAGTTAACTGATAAACAAATAGCTCATTATCATGTGTAATATGAATCAAAACTGACAAACTCGCTAATTTCTTTGTCGGTGAAATATTCCAATTCCTCATCCAACGAGAACACAGATGCGTCCTTTTCACCTGCATGATTAAAAGAAAACAAACATGAAGTCTTTTACAAAAAATAAAAAAGATGAAACCAAACCTTATCATTAGGTGCCTATCACAAGTTCTGTTGTATTCACCTGGAAGATGAATGTCAACTTTATCTGAACCAATAAAATTTGCATCCCATGATGACTTGCTGAACATTGCATTATCCTGGGCAATGCTTTCAAGGCCTGCATCCATATCACAAAATTATTATTTAAAGAAAGAGGGAATATTATAGAAATTGATAATTGTACTCAAAATGAAGGGCAAAAACCTTTGATTCCATTCACTTCCAGCAGAAACACGGAACGAGGCCTATTGAATGGATTAGGAATCAAAACCTCATTCAACTGCAGAAATCAATACATTACCACTAATCAAATCTATATAACAGAAGTGTGATGTAACATAAGTAAGGTAGTGTGATGTAACATAAGTAAGGTAGTAAAAACTGATCGTCACTAATGATTTCAAGAACCTTGGATGAGCTGGAGGCTGAAAGGGTGGAAGGAGGTGCGAAACCGAGCAAGATTGGCACAGCAGCACCAACTTCTTGAAGCGAAATTGAAGGACTCTGCAAAGTGAAATGTCGCCATAAAGTGAGATTCATTATTTTTTATATCTTTACAATGACAAGAGTGTAGCAGCCTCATTAGCAGAAATAGAGGGAACACAAAAGGGATGAACGTGATGAAAATAGTTAACCTTCAAAGTCAAACCAATATAATGAAATTTAATAAGAGGATGAGAAAATGGCTAAGGAAGTTAAAGCAGTTGGCTAATTGGTTAGTTAGACAGGGTTGGATATACAGATAATTTTGTTATGTTTTGTTATACAGATAAACTGGGGGAGTTGTAGGGGAAGAAGCATCATGCTCTGAATTTGATAGCTTGTATAGGAAAGGAGAAATCCTTTGTTAGGGGACAACCCTTGGGGAGAATTCCAACATTTTAAACACAAACAACTAGGCAAGAGGTTTGTGCTAAACGATCATTCATACGATTTCAAAGTAGATTTTGATTTCATTATTACCTTCTTAAATCTACACACCTCAATTTCTTATAGCAAACCATACAGTACGATCAAATGCAAATTCAATTGAAGTACTAAAAATCAAATCGATCAGAAAGACGTATTGAATAAGGCGATTACATAAGATGCATAGATGATGAAAAAAGCAGAAGGAGAATTATAAGATAAACCTCATGGTTGGATGATCTAGCGCGAAGGAATTGATGAGTGGAGCTATCGATGAAAAAGACGGAACCAGAAGCCTCGCCCTGTGAAAATCAAACAAAGGGAAATCGTTAGATCGGAATCGCAATCGCAATCAAATGCGCAATGAATTGGAAGAGAGTGGAGATAGAGAGAGAAAACGAACCCTAACTTGAGGAGAGAGGACAGAGAAGAAGAGAATGGTACAAATGACGGAAACGGGAAACTCCATCTCAGAGAAAGAGATCTGGTGGTTCCACTTCAGCTACGTGCTTGTTGTTTCGTTCTCGGCAAATATCAAATGCGCTTCCAGGAAACGAAAGATTATTACTCGATTAATTGATAGTTTACTGGTAGGACCGCATCGGTATAATTTTGCACCATCAATATAACAGGTTAATCCTAATTTGTGCCGTAGGCGCATCTTTAATAGGAGTAAAGTAAATAGGTAAACTAAGATATTTTTTATGGGCCCAAAGTGTTTAGTAGGATTTAAAAAATTTATAGTTGATTTTAGTAGTTTTTACTTTAACGATAGTTGTCTATAAAAAACTAAAACTTGACCCACTATTTTCAAATATTATGTTATTATTTAATGTTGTTGAAATATTTTATTAATTAAATAAATAATATTATAATATATTTCACATAGTTAACGTTAATTATATGGAGAATAAGAACTACATTTTAGTTCACTTAAATGTCATGTCAGCTCTACTATAATGCAAATTTTTTATTACTAACGTAAATTATACAAGTTCCATAAATAAAAAATTTGTATTGGAAAAAGTAATAAACGAATTAATTATAAACTTTTGATAAAAACAATATACAAGTTCCAAGAAAATATTTCTACATTTAGTTCTTAACATGTGCCCCTAGGGCACAAGTTAACATTACCCAAAGTTTAATTGGTATTCACTGAATGTGTAAGCCGATATCCAATAAAAATATATTAATTTGTTATATCAAACAGATAAATTAAAATTTATAATTTGATGTGATAGGATATTTGAGAGAGATTGTTTGACAGTGTAAAATTTTATATTTTCAATGTGTATCAATTAAATTCATAAACAGATTATATGTAATATATATATATATATATATATATATATATATATATATATATATATATATATATATATATATATATATATATATATATATATATATATATATATATATATATATATATATTGATGGCAAAAGATTATGAATAGGTGGTGTTGGATCTCTAGTACGGTGTTATGGACCTACAAAGTTATCACTCCAATACTCTTAGGGATTCTCGATTAAATAAAAATAGTCACACTGCTTCTTTTGAATAGTTCGCATCTTGTACATAAGTCAAAATCATTTTCACAATCAAAATAATTTAACCTTTTTGCAAATGATTGGAGGAGTGGATGGATATCTACATTGTCCTCGAGTAATCGATTGATTGACGAACGTTGCATCGATCGATCATTCAAATCCAAAACAATTAAAATCAACATCAACACACCAATATATCTTTTGCGCCCTGCGCACTTAATTCAAATATTTTTCGTTAAAAAAATAGTTTGGGTCATTTCGACGAATAGCACAAACAAACGTTTCAGCCTCCACCGTGCGAGTATACAAGTCAATGTTTAAACACAAGAACATGATTTAAACCCTATTCTCTAAAACCAACCAACAAACACAAACATTTTCTACTGAACTATGATGCTTTGATTTTCTCATTGCACTTAAGAATACGTAGGCACAAGGTTTTGAAACTTTGACAAACACATTAGTAAAAAAAATCCTTTTCTTTTGTAAGCAATTGCAAACATTCCTTAAGTAAACACTTTAACCCTAGCCTATTATGAGGTTCCCGTTTAGTACAACGAATGTGAGGGATGCTAATATCTTTCCCTCGCATAATCGACTCTTGAACCCGATTTGATCGTGATGATCATCTTATTCTTTTTCTTTGAGTTGTATCATTATTTCCCCTTTGCTTAAGAATAAATAAAATTTGGTGGCAACACTATCAGTCATCCTGGAGCGTGCGATATGCTCGTGAGGTCGTATTTTTTTAGATGCGACAATTGGCGACTCTGTTGGGGAGCAACTTTTAAAAGAATTCTATGGGGAAATTACTTACTAAGGAAACCAATAAGCATTCCTGCTTGGGGAATCGTAACAGTGTTAGATGGGGATTGGACTTTTACGAGAGGTAACAGAACCTTTGATTATGCTATGTATGCATACTTTGTGAGGATGCATGTCGATGCAAGTGTTAAGGCATGGTATGTAGCTGGGGATTGAACTTCTACGATAAGTCACATAATCCTTACTTATGCTATGATATGGTTTAAGTTGACGCATTTTATGATGTATGTTATGCCTTTGGTTATCATGTGAACATTTACGAATATGATACGCATGAAATGACGCATGAAACATAATGATTGATTAATGCATATGCATATAGTTGGTTACTGAATGTGCGTTAATGGGATTTGGGCTTCAAGGTGAGTATGTCAAATAGAGTTTTTCTTCTTTCGATGAAAAATGCCAAGCAATGGTGAAATTTAGAATACCAATGTTAATTAGTGTTTGAGGTGTTAATGCAAGACCGAACTTCGAAGGTGAACTGTCAGATGAGAATTGTATTTAAAGGATAAATTATCAGGCGGGAACTAGTAGAAAAGATTAAGTTGCCATACGGAAACTGATTCTTTTGTTTGTTAGACGGGAACTGACTTTAGAATGGACTACTAGACGAAAAATGGTGAAAAAGATTAACTGTCAGACAGGAAATGATATTTTTGTTCGTCAGACAAGAACTGACTTTTAAAATAGGCTACCAAACGGAAAATGGTTTTGAAAAACTAACTTCCAAACAGGAACTGGATCAACTGCCAGACGGGAATTGGTCTTGAAATAATTTGCCAGATGAGAACTGGAGTTGAAGATAGAAGTTGTCAAACGAGATGTAACACCTATATATAATACATGTATAGAAATACATATTATACATAGTTGTAAAGTTGGTACTGAAATACATAAGTGCCTAGTGGCAATATCGTACATATTACATGCCCAAAATAGTACTACAACAATGGGATAATATGTGCAAGGGTGCCCAAAATATAAAAACTAGGAACTAGATCATTGTGAGATGATCTCCAAAATAACTACACAACGGATACGCCATCCAAAATAATGAAAGAAGCAAGGACATCGTGCTACCTTGTACTTACCCTTCGCCTGATCAGAACCACCTAAAAATAATCAACAAATATGGAATGAGATAATAATCTCAGTGGGTGTTTCCCGTGAAAATTGGAAGACAAATGTTGATCTTCCAAATCTAACTTTGGTGACTCACATGATCGATCAGATTGATCCTAGGACATGTGCTAAATTTTACTCTGAAGAAAATACTAAAGAAATAAACACTTTGACCGTGTTTATGAGAAAAAGGTTAATGTAAATGTAAGGTTCGAATGAAATGAAAGGACATGAAATTGTAAGAAACAAAGTAAAGAGCCTTCAAAACACTTAAACAAAACAAAGAATAATGCCAAGAAGATGTAAATTTCTAGGAAGTATAAGATAAATTCTTTTAAGATAAAGTAAAAGTAAATTCAATTAAAACATAGAATGGTGTTTTTACATTACGTACATTCTTCCAGAACTCTTTTCTCTACACTCTGATACTTTGAGTAAATTTGGAGTGACTTGTACAATAGTAAATTACAACACACCAAATTCTATTGCTAGAACCCCTATTTATAATAATATGATTAACTGTTATTAACCTTCTAACATGATCAGCCCATGACAAGTGTCGCGCTGCATGTAGTTGCTTATTGGATGTGCGCCACTTGTCTCGTTTAATAATGAGAAAGCATAACTACTTCCTCCCTTATTTGAATTTCAAATTATACTAGTATTTGGCCAGCATTCTCAGTCGAAGGTGACCTATTTTAATTTTAGAAATGTTTTCTAAGTCCCAAAAGTCTTCTTTCCTTATGTGGATGCCTTCGATTTCATTTATGGCCAAGACCCACTCGAAGGTTTTTCCACATTACTTCAAGATTTCAATATCTCACCCAAACACTTCAATTTAATGTGGGCGTCGAATTCGTGAGCTAACAAATTTCCCCCAAAAAATATCTTTTTCGGCCATGCTGAAGAAAAAGGCTTTTTTTATAGTATCTGATTCGACGCCATCTTTCGACCTCTACATAGATGTCAATGCAACTGAATACCCATGACTTGAAAGAAACTGTTCAGCTACTTTTCAAGCACGTCCATGACGTCATGGGCCATTATGAAACAATTTCTTGGAAACCCCACCAAATCCCAGACCATCATCATTTTCTTAGGACCTATGAAATCGTGGGTTTAGGCAACAACTGCCACTGCCCTCACTTTCATTCCTGGGACGCCGCGTGTCCCATTACTCTTAGCCCTCAATGATGAATAATGGATTTTGATTACTTCAAAACATTTTATAAATAATTTCATCAGAAATTATTTTAACTTTTTCCAACTCAAGCAATCACTACACATCTCTTTCAAACACTCCCAATCTTTCTTCAGTAAACTCATTTTTACTAAAACCTCATCAATGATGTCCTTCACTGCTGCCACCCAAGATCAGAAGAGAAATCCCCAGGCCAAATGACTAAAGACTATATCACTACTTCCTCCATTTGCTACACTGAGCGGGCCTAAAATGGTGAAGAACCAATAATTTATTCATGAACCCCTTATAGAAGAGAATAGGCATATTTATGAATCACAGGTAATGATCCTCATAACTGTTTCAGGTAAACCTTTAGCTTTAGTTGACCCTTTGTCTCCTTTAGGAACCAATTATTCAACCCTCGATGACTTATTTCCCTCCTATCGCAAAACTAAACCTTCAGGGCAAAAAGATTATACCAAAGTATCCACCGAAGGTCCTAACAGCCTGACTTTATACAATGTAGACCTTAAGTATCTAAATGATGGATTCAGGCTATTTAGAGCGACTCCTTACTTCAAAGACTCTGATCTTTATCTGAATTGGTTGACTAAAGTAGAGAAGGTCAAGGCAGACGCTTGGAAGAAAACTGGGATTTACAACTTGATTATAATGTCGAAAGCAGGTCCCACCTACTGCCCCATTCTTCTGGCCTCTTCCTTATACTCCTAGGGTAATACCCATTATACTTTTCACCTTCCTTGTGGGATGATGACACCCAC